TCTCCCGCAAGCAACTATTCCACTAGTTGTAGCTTGGAGGTGGAAGCAGCCACAGACAACCATGGGTGTGGCAGTGTTCCAGTAATGTTTTGTTTATAAAAACGGGGTAGGCAGGATCTGGCCCCCCAAGTTTGCAGACTCCTGATTTAGGAGACAGCCATGGTCCACAGTTTGACTTTAACTCTGAGAGAAATGAGGATTCATTGGCGAAGTTTTTGAAGAGGGAGGACTGAAACCATCTGACTTCTGTTGAAAGAGGATGTCTCACAGTTCCTGGTTGAGAATGGCTGTGAAGGGGTGAGGTGGCAGGGTAGGGTTGTACTTAAACCAAGACAGGAAGGCTGTAGGTGGGGCAGGTGGTGGGTGAGGACAGTGATTTGGTTTAGACAAGTTAAGTTTGGGGAGACTGGTAAGACATCCAAGTGGGGACGTCAAGGGTGCAGTTGGCCTGCAGACCAGTGCATAGGAGAAGTCAAGGTGGGACTCAGGAGCCTTCAGCGTGCACGTGACATTCAAGGTCATGAGGCTGAATGGAGAAGAGTGGGAGCGGCTATAGCTTTGGACTGTTTTCTACACTTTGGGAATGTGGATTCTTTTCTTTTGTTTTTTTAAGTGGGGGAGGGGCAGAGGGAGAAAGAATCTTAAGCAGCCTCCACGCCCAGCATGGAGCTGTAAGCCGGACTCAGGGCTTGATCTCCCGACCTGAGCTGAATCAAGAGTCGGACGCTTACCTGACTGAGCCACCCAGGCGCCCAATGATTCTTTTCACTCTTAAATGGATTTGAAGTACAGAACCTTCGTGCCCCTTGGTTTAGGCTTATTTTTTACCACCGCTAATCTTACTAATTCTAGGTCTTACATACAGCTTTTTAAAACTGTGGTAAAATGCACATAACATAAAATTGATCATTGTACCCATTGTTAAGTATGCAGTCAAGCGGCATTTAGTTCACTGCGAATATTGTGCAGCCATCACCCCTGTGCATTCCTGGAACTTTTGCTCATCCCAAACAAAAACTCTGTGCCTGTTAAACAACAACTCCCCAGTCCTGCTTTTTCCTGGTCCTTGAAAATCACATTTCTACTCTGTCTCTCTGAATGTGCTTGTTAGAGGTCCCTCGTATAAATAGAATCATGCAGTATTTGTGCTTTTGTGTCTGGCTTATTTCACTTAGCATAACGTCCTCAAGGTTCATCCATGTTGTAGCCCTGTCAGTGCTTTCATTACTTTTTTTTAAAGTTCTTTGAATAATTAATACAAACCTCTTATATTGAGTCCTGTTTTGAAGAGGAGTTCCTTGCTTCTGAGCGGTCTCAATGACTCAGCCTTGTGTTCCAGAACATTCCTAGTCTGTGCATCTGGGAAGCCGTAAGAGCTTGAGGAAGTGCTCCTTCAGCCCATGCAGCCTTCTTTTTATTTGTGCAACTAGTAAAATAGTGACAATGATAATAAATAGCTGGATGATTGACTCTCTAATGTGATCTGATGGATTTTCTGATATTATGGCATTTTTTTTTTTTTTAAAGATTTTATTTATTTATTGGACAGAGAGAGACAGCGAGAGCAGGAACACAAGCAGGGGGAGTGGGAGAGGGAGAAGCAGGCTTCCTGCTGAGCAGGGAGCCCGATGTGGGACTCGATCCCAGGACCCTGGGATCATGACCTGAGCCGAAGGCAGACGCTTAACGACTGAGCCACCCAGGTGCCCGATATTATGGCATTTTTAATCAGGATAAGGTGAAATCGATAGAAAACCTTAAAAAGGGACAGCTTATCGGTAGCAGTTGTGTCAGAATAGATCCTTCTGGAAATGGGATGAGAGGTATTTCAGGAGAGCATAATTTTACAGCTTGCTCATTTGACAAATTGCTAAGATTGGGGGCAAGTCCTGTAATGTTTGCCTGTTACTTCAAGGCATTTGTGGTGTTATTTGCCTTATCTCCTAAATAAGCTCTTGACTCTGCTAGATAACAGCAGTATTTATGGCAGGGAGTGCATTGAGGGAGAACCTGGCCCTCCTTTGGGGTTCAGGAGTTAAGGCCACTGAAAGCTCAGTTGACATGTGAACAAGGCATTGTTTGTCTAACCGACATTGAGTTTTCTAGGCAAGGCTCAGTAATGTTCTTTACTGTGGTGCCAGAGAATGATGGAGAGTAGAATGAAAATTAATTTTTAATTTCACTTGAAGATCGGCAATTGCAAAAAAAAAAAATCTTTGTTAAAAAAAATTTTTTTTTGAGAAGAAAATTAGAGGCAAGAGGTTGTTTTCAGGACCCAGCCCTGAGCTCGTAGTTTCGGTAGAGTTTTCAAGTTACTTCCCAGAGCTCATTGAGTCATCCCAGCAGTGCTGAAAACGGTCCACTATAAGGAGTTGAAAAGGAAGATCAAAGTATCCATTGTTCTCTCCTTTTGAAGAGAGGAGGGTTAGTTTTGGGTCTGGCCCTAGGTTTTTATTTTTATTTTCATTTATTTATTTTTTTAAAAGATTTTGTTTATTTATTTGAGAGAGAGAATGAGATAGAGAGAGAGCATGAGAGGGGAGAGGGTCAGAGGGAGAAGCAGATGCCCCGCCGAGCAGGGAGCCCGATGCGGGACCCGATCCCGGGACTCCAGGATCATGACCTAAGCCGAAGGCAGTCGCTTAACCAACTGAGCCACCCAGGCGCCCTGGCCCTAGGTTTTTTAAATTTTTCTTTTTTTCTCTTTTTATGTAACCATCTAGTGGGCAAGGGATGAAATTAATATATCTGGGAGATTGTAGGGGACTTTGCTTTGGGCTCCATGAACGCTGAGAACTTTTCATTTTTGCCCGTTAGCTGTAAGGGCAATGGCAGCCGGTACTGAGGTACTTCCGGAGGCCAAGGATCACCAAGGCCTTAGTAGCAAGCTTGGTGAGAACTTGTAGGCCACGTCAAAGCAATATTTGACTCTGTTTTTCTATAAAATGGAAATAATGATACTTCATCGAAATTAAATGAAACCCCTTAACTCTTAATTTTCTTCTTGATTAAGGCTTGTGCAAGGAGGAAGTTTGAAAAGAATATGCCTTGTTACCTGTCTGCCCCACTTTGTTCCACCACAGCCCCTGTGAGCCCCTGGATGGCTTCCAGGGCTCAGTGATTATGTATCTTATCAAGCAAACATTGCTAGGCTTTTCTTCAAGACCTCCTGGCCAGCTGATTATAAGTTTTGCCGTGCAGAGGCGGTGTCCACACCATTGGGTGTATCTGCTTGAGGACTCATGGCTGGTGCCTAGCTCAGGGCTACCATAGGAGGAAGGTACCTACATTCTTTGAACAGTAGGTGAATCAGCTCAGGAAAGGGCCTCAACTCTTGTCCAGCTGAATTATCTACTTGTTCTGGACTATAAATAATGCTGTGACATGCATTTAATCCTATTTGAGTTCCAGGGTTGGTTCTGCTTTTCTATCTTGATTCCCTTGGGCTGTCGCTGGGAAATTAGTAACCAAGTTGACCTTCATCTTTTAATTTAGCTCAGGAGCCCTAGGCTGTATCTGATTGGTGTATCAGGAGGGGTGAGATCTAGGCTCCCTTCCAATGTCATCTGATTCTCTTACTTTGCTATTTTCCTGTGCTCTGAAGAAATAAAATTTATTTACTCTGTGTCTTAAGGTGGAAAATAGCTCTTTTTTAAAAAAATTGCTATTTTTAAAATTTATTTAATCTTTTTTCTTATTTTATTTATCTGACAGAGATCACAAGCAGGGGGTGGGGGCAGGGAGATGCAAGGCTTGATCCCAGGACCCCAGGACCACGACCTAGGCCGAAGGCAGATGCCCAATCGACTGAGCCACCCAGGCGCCCCTAAAATTTATTTGTTTTTAAGTACTCTCTGTGCCCAGTGTGGGGCTTGAATTCACAACCCCGACAGTAAGAATTGCATGCTCTTCCAGCTGAGCCAGCCAGGCGCCCCAAGATGGAAAACATCTTTTAGAACACCTGCTTATGACCTAAAAGATATTTCGCCTATCACGTTAGCCAAATCTGTATGTAATTTTGCAGGACGTAACTCTTATTTTGTATTGCATTCTGGTTATATTTAGATTTTGTTTTATCCATTCAGCTGCATAATAAAAAAGCTGTGTCCCCCCTTTCCCTACGGAGAGAGTTCCACTTCAGAAATCAGAAATAGATCGGATAAGAATCAAGAAAGCCTTACTTTAACATCATTGCCAGGAAGTGTGTGCACCTAGCATTAGGGATCAGACATCGGTGTTCACAGTCTTAAGTGGTATGAAAGGGGATTAAAAATTAGAAATAATAATGCATGTTAGCCTGAGTTGTCTGGATTAAAGAGCAGTGCTGTTTTGGAAGTGCTGCCTTGGGGAAACTACTTTTGGGTGCGGGGAGAGGGGTGGGATGGATGGCATGATGCATGTTTTACCAGACACAGTGTTATCTTAGGGCTGGGCTCTGGGGAGGGAGAGTCAGACTTCTCATACTAAGGAGGAACTTGTGTTTTAGTTGAGTGTGGGTCATCTATGCACAACAGCTCGTTTGGTTGTGCCCACCTTTGAAGCCCTGTAGTTCCTTTCTAGCCCATGCTCACCACTTGACATCAGAAAGTTGTAGTGCTCTCGGGCTAACACTCTTAAGCTTCTTCTGAAAAGGCTGCACGCAGACAAAGAAGTCAGCAAAACTGTAGCACCTCTAAAAAAAGCACACACACGTCATCGGGTGGTATTCGGATGCCCCGGTCCCTTAATTTGAGGATGATTATGCCTTTATGTAGGTAGAGGAATACAGAAGTAATTCTCTGCTTCTCAGAATGACTCCCCTTCATTTTTATTCACCAGAAAGCAGCAGGTACTCATCATCGTAAACGCAGAGGATGAATGCCATATAACCTTGTTCTTCTAAAGAGTGAGAACACTCACTGTGTAGCTTCCTTTTCCTCCCCCAGCATGGGCTGGCACAGCTGCTGACTGTCTTGTATCCGGTTGTGCCTCTCCTCCCTTCAACCAGCTTCTTAGTAGTTTTGCTATATGCTACTCTAGCCCTGGCATCACGGGGCCTTCGCACACTTTGCAGTCAGTGCGCATCTGCCAAGTGCAAACGGTGTTGCCCGTAAGAGCAACGGGACTTCTTCAAGGAGGAGGAGATCATTTGGCAGGTTCATCTGTGCTGGGTCTGGAAGGTACCCACTCATCCTTCTCTCTCTCTCTGTTTGACAAGGTTAGTATCTTCAATCACTAGCTTAACTTCATCTCTGCTTTTATTACCACTCCCAGCATGAATTATTTAGTACAAACTCAGACATAATCTCATAAAATTACTTGGTGTTAGTGTCCTGCTGTGAGCATCATTTTCTTGAGTGTGTTGTGCTCTGCCCGCAAATTACCAAAAGCCACTTCAAGAAAATCTGTGGGTCCATTTAGAGAGGTTTAGTTGGTGTTACCTGATAATTTTTTTTTCATTTTCTTTTTATTCTTTTTTTTTTTTCCCCTTAAAGTAGGCTCCACACCCAGTGTAGAGCCTAACGCAGGGCTTGAACTTCACAACCCTGAACTTCACAGTCAAGAACTGGCTGAGATCCAGAGTCAGATGCTTAACTGACTGAGCCACCCAGCCGCTCCTGCTTTCATTCTTACATAGTTCACAGCTTTCCTAGAACAATTTTTTTTTTTTAAGTTTCTCTTTTTACCTGATAATAACCCCTCAAAAATTTCTCAGTGGGCTGGTCATTTTATGAGCAGGGATCCAAGAAGTGCCAAGCTTTGTTTGGGGGGCTGGATTTGGAGGAGAGGGGAGTCTTCTCTAACCAGAAGACTCCAGGCCTGTAGTCGTTTAAGAATTGGGTTTTTTTGGGGTGCCTGGGTGGCTCAGTCGTTGGGTGTCTGCCTTCGGCTCGGGTCATGATCCCAGGGTCCTGGGATCGAGCCCCACATCGGGCTCTCTGCTCGGCGGGGAGCCTGCTTCTTCCTCTCCCATTCCCCCTGCTTGTGTTCCTTCCCTTGCTATGTCTCTCTCTGTCAAATAAATAAAAAAAATCTTAAAAAAAAAAAGAATTGCGTTTTTTTTAGGGTGGCATAGTACAATGACCCTGCTCTAAAGATAAAATTACTCATCCCCTTAATAATTTGCCAGATTGTTGAAATAAAGTCTAGAGCTAAAATTTATGCTCCCTTTTAACAGTGATCTAATTGTGAAAATCACAGATGGCTACTGACAGTTTATGAGCATTAGGCATTTGCTGATTTTCAAAATAACTGTAGGAAAGGAAAATCCAAGGTGAGAAGAGAAACTAAAAATCATACAGCCACATTATTGGGTGTTGGAGTCTTCAGACAGCAAAAGAAGCAAAACAGTACAGACATAGGAAGTTAGCTCTCATGGTTATACTAGTTCAAGTTCGGCCTCCCTTTATGCCGAGCCCCTAGAGCATTGTGGGAGCTTATGGGTCAGGGGCCCCTGCCAACAAACCCACAGGGCCCTACAGCAACTTGGAAGCCTAGGTGTTGGGCGTGGTGGGAGATGTTAATTGGCCTCTGAGTGAACTCCGTGTACTGCTAGGATTCTTATCCCTTGATAAACTTACTCCCTCGGGCAGTCTTGTTAATATTTAAAAATAGTGCTAAATCTATTACAAAGCACCATAATTTAATTTTTGTGGCATTTCAGTGCTCTGTGGTTGTCAGCCCAGGGTCGTTTAAAAAGTCTTTGGGCATACTGAGTTTTAACTCTTAACCTATAAAAGGTTTTCTTGTTTTTTGTTTTTTGATTGTGGGGTGTGCAGTCCTAGGAATTTTTGTCTGAGAGTAAGGTCAGCCTCAGGAATTTTTAGTTACTTTCCTTTCCGTAAACCTGCAGATGTAATTTTGAAAGGGAGCGGCAAACAAGCCAAGCTAGGAATGCTACACTACGAGAGAGGGTGTGGCTTTCGCTGGCATCTTCTCCGTTCCCCCTCCCTGTTCACCTTGAGCACATGCTTTTGTTGTGATGGTTGATTTTTCCTGGAACTTTTTCCTTGTCTTTATCTTGGGTTTTGTGTCTTTAAGTTCCGGGCAAGAGGAGCAGTGTTGTCTGAGATCTTGGCTGGTTGCAGAGAGTTGCTGATGCCCACCGAGGGTGGGATTGGGGAGTGGCAAGAGAAGAGATTGCAGAGACAGGCCAGGTTTCATGGACTCTTGTAAGTTATGCTGTGCAAGAGGAATTTGAACTTGACCTTGACGGCAGTGGAAAGCCATTCAAATATAAATTGAGGGAGCAACAGGAAAATTTATTTGTAATTTCTCTGCAGTTCTCCTATGAAATTATATGAAAAGAGTAAATGCAGTTCTTGGTTTCAGAAACAAAATAATTTTTTGTTGGCATAGAATAGCCACCGAATGCTTTAACTTCTTATGTAAACATTACTTAGGTATTTACTCCCCGTATTATAATTTGTGATCCACTTACAGGATTCTTGGTATGGTATTAATATACTTTAATTTAGATTTAGTTGGCAATTTAGATAGCATCCAAAATCAAACTCTTCTCCCAGCTTTTTATTATGAAAAGAATTTAAACCTACAGAAAAAGTTAAAAGAATAACACAGTGTACACATTACCCTTCATCTAGGGTCAACAGTTATTACCATTTTGCTTTATTTATTTTAACTCTGGCTCCCCCCGCCAGCCATGTGAAATTAAACTGTAGACACAGCAAGACATTTAACCTCTAAATACATCAGCACACATCTCTTAAAAATGATAAGGATTGGGGTGCCTGGCTGGCTCAGTCAGTGGAACATGCAATTCTTGATCTTGGGGTTGTGAGTTCAACCCCCCACGTTGGGTGTAGAAATTGCTTAAAAATAAAATCTTTTAAAAAAATGATAGATATAACCACAATACTGTTATTGAAATTAACAGTACTTTGAAAATATCTTCTGATATCCAGACCATATCCAAATTCCCCAAGTGGTGCTCAAAGTGTATTTAGCCACCCTCCCCTCAAATCACATACTATATTTGAGTGTGTCTCTTTGGTCTCAGTCTGTAGCTGCCTTCCCGCCCCAACCCATACTCCTCATTATAGTAACTTTTTGTTTTTGTTTTTTTAAAGATTTTATTTATTTATTCATGAGAGACAGAGAGAGAGAAAGAGAGAGAAGCAGAAGGAGAAGCAGGCTCCCAAGGAGCAGGGAGCTCAGTGCGGGACTCGATCCCAGGACTCTGGGATCATGACCCGAGCCGAAGGCAGACGCTTAACCATCTGAGCTACCCAAGCGGCCCCTATAGTAACTTTTTGAAGAGACCAGGCCAGTTGTTTACAGATAATGTTCTACATTCTGGAATTGCTTGGTGTCAGTTTGATGTGTTTTTTAATCCCCTGAATTTTTCTAAACTGGGAGACAGTTCTGAAAGCTTGATTAGATTGAGGTTACAAGTTTCTGGCAAGAATATTCTGAAGGTAATGTCAGCTTGTTCCAGTGTTAGGGATGCCCAGCTTGATCCCATGGTCAAGGGGTGCCTGTCTGAATTCTCCATTGTAAACGTACACTTTCCCCTTTGCAATCAAGTAATCTGTGGGAAGAATTTTTTTTTAATGTTTAGGAATAGTCTTACAAGTTTTGACCATGCCTTATGCTTTCCAGGATTCTCTTGGTTGGTCCTTCTGTTTCTGTGGACTTGTTGGTCTTGCATTGCTTAAACATGTGAACATCACTTAGCTAAAGAAAGAAATGCTAATGTCGGAACATTCTGGATCAAGTGAAAGGCAAAGCAATATAAGAGATGAGAAAATGAGTCCAGCACTTTGCATGGCTCAGAGGACCCATTTCTAGGACAGTTTCATGTCTGCTAAGGACAAACCATCTGGTCGGGAGGAAGGGTTCATACCTATAGGGTGTCAAGGGAAGATCTTTCTTTGCTAAGTGTTTCTGCCGAGAGTCAGGACATTTTCAAGTGCTTTCTCTGGTAATTTTTGCCTTTCTATGGAAATGATGGCTCTGATTTCATGTGTCTGACAGTGTGTTAATCTCAGCTAGAATGATGCCTTTTGGAAACAAATTCCTAAAGAGTAGATAACCCTATTAGTCTGTTATAGTCTTCCAGGCTAACAGTAATATGATTATAATATATTATCCCCATGGGACATGGAGAATAATCTCCTTTCCAGAAGAGGATCAGGAGGGAGGCCAGAGAACTGTCAGTGGACAAATACTTTGGGATTGTGGGCTAGGTAGAGGAAGCTTGCTTGGTGAGCTTTTAACTAGAAAGATCAGAAGTTTTAGGATAATTATAAATCATTGGGTGTAGGTGAAGGTGGAATAATGGTTTAAGATTGGGGAAATTATCTGGAGCAATAAAGAGTGAGGGGCTAATAAGGCAGAAGCTCTGTTGTGTTTTTGTACTGCCTGCTTCTCCCCACCCCCCAGCATTAAAATGTATGATTGTTTTAGAAAATGAAAAGAAAGAGGGGCGCCTGGGTGGTTCAGTCGGTTAAGCTTCCAAGTCTTGGTTTCGGCTCAGGTCATGATCTCATGGTCAGAGGTGGAGCCCTGCTTTAGCTCACACTCAGCACAGAATCTGCTTGAGATTCCCTCTCCGCCCCTCACCCCTTGAGCACGTGTTCGCTCACTCACTGTCTTTCTCTCTCAAATAAATCTTTAAAAAAAAAATGAAAAGAAAGGAAAAGACCCATGTTTGAAGGCATCATTCCTAGAGTGTGTTCATAGATATTCAGTGGGTGCTATGTGAAAAAGGCATTCTCAGTAACTCTGGAAACTTCAAAATTTGGGGTCAGTTCAAACAGATTTGGTTACTGCCAGAACTTTCACTATTGGAACAGAGAACTTCTTTATTATACAAAGATTTTTCTGATGGCTATGGAAATGCTGCATTGCAACAAAGAAAAGAAAGTGCAGATGACCCCATAATTCTAAGCAGAGATGGCACTGAACATTTAAAAATTGTTTTATGCGTGTATTTTCCTCTGTGTCTTTTTCTTTAATCCAAATGTGATATACTATATACATTGTTCTACAGGATGATTTTTTAGATGAAGTAATGATTGCTTAGATTTCCATGGCATGACTTTGCCATAATTTTTGTCCCTAGTCCCTTTTGTTGCACATTTAGGTAGGTGTGTGGTTTTGCTTTTATAAATAGTACCGAGATAAACATCCTTGAACACACTTATTTATCCAGTTACTTCTTTTTTTTTTTTTTAAAAGATTTTATTTATTTAT